GAGGAGGGAGCTCTGGGTCTGGGCAGACTCGACTTCTAAATCGCAATCAAGCTGATAAGACTGAGCCAGACTAGCTGCGACGCGGCACTCGGCTAAGAACCCCTCGTCGGTATTAAAGCTGGTGGTCCAGCTGATGAGCGTGAGGACAACAGAAGCCGAAGCTCGAGCCGGGGACCCATTCGGCAACGTCGCCCACGCGTCGCAGCTACAGTATCGGGACTCCTTCTCGCCCATGCTCATGCACATCACACACTACAGCAACCTGCATGTCATACGTCTCAGCTTTAAGCTGTCTCAATGTTGCCACTTGCCCCTCCAATGCACCCCTCCAGGTCTGGAGGTTGGCCGCGGAGCATCTGCCAGCGAAGGGGATCAGACGCAGAGCTTGCCATGCGGAGATGTCGCCTGTTAGCATGTGCAGTCCGCATATCCTCCAATGACGACGAACCAACGCGTTCAGAAATTTGATCTGACTTAAAGGTTCCAGGGTCTTGCAAACCTCAGACGCTTCAAACTGCACAGTGTCACCGTATGCTTCGGGTACCAGCTCGCTCAAACACTTACCACGCAGCAGGAAACTGAATACGAGGAGGTCGTGTACATAACGAACTTTTCCATCTGAACTTGTGCTCGGGACCGCTCAAATTAAACCTCTGGGCGACATGCCCCGCACGGCGCGTGTTAAACATGTGCTCCGCCCAGCAAAACACCATCGAAAGAATCGCAAGGTTCAAAGGTCCACCGAGGGACCGTGCCAAACCAGAACTATCGCGTCAACACGGACGCGCGCAGAGCCCTTCCGATGGTTCTCATATTCAGGACCGTCGTGCCGAGAGAGAGAGAGAGAGAGAGAGAGAGAGAGCGAGAGAGAGAGAGAGTGCACAAAGGCCGTGCTGCCGTGTGACTCTGTGAGCCCAGCGTTCCCGACCAGAGATGTAGCCTACGAGACCGCGCAGCACAGAGAGCGGAGGATCGCAGGAGCAGGGACGCACTCGAAAGCTTGCCCGACGCTGCAGCAGAATGTGCCAATCCGCAGCCCACGCAGGATCGTCGCAAGCCGTGGCTTGGGGCGGCAGCGGCCTCCAGCTCGTCGGAGCCCAGGCCACATGTCACGCGCAGGTATTTCACGGACCTGCGCTCCCAGTCAGCGCAGACGCCCGCCGTGAGGGACATGAGGGCCCTGATGGCGCGCTGGAGTAGGCCAATCGAGCTAGGACTCGAACGAGTGATAGTACCGTCCGCACACACGTTTATGGCGGCGCTGTTCGCTTCCAGTCCCCGCAGCGGCCTCAGCCGACTAACATTCGCCATTAACCGTCGGATGAGCATATGGGAGATCTTCTTCTTCTCCTCCTCCTCAGAGCCACGGGCGCTCCTCCTCCTCTTCCTTCTCCTCCTCCTCCTCCCCCTCCCGTGGGCGCCCTCCACCTCCTCTCGGCGGCGAGCGAGGGGGGGAAGTGAGAAGGAGAAGACCTTCTCAGAAGGTTAGGAAGTCCCTTGGCCTTCTGAGAAGGTTTGTAAGCCTTCCCCGAAAACAGAAGCAACAACTTCTCAGAAGGCGCGAGGGTTTCCCGAAGTCCCGCCGCCTTCGGAGAAGGCCTTGTCCTTCTCCTTTCCCCCCCTCGCTCGCCACCGATCCTCTTTCTCCTCCTCCTCCGCCTCCTCCTCTCTCCTCCACCTCCTCCTCCATTCCTTCTCCTTATAAATAACCTCTCCCTGTCGCACCCCGAGGCCAGTTTTTAGGGCGGGCCGAGCGTTTCGCCTGAGACTTCCTCACCATTTATGATTTTGAAGCTTGAAAATTGACAACGGTTCCACAGATGGAGAGCTTGTGGTTTTTTTAAAATGTGGCTCTCGCCTTAGCGCAGCCCACATTCGTTTTAAACATGTGCATTCGTTTCACGGATTGAAGGCGGGTCGTTTCCAAAATGTGGCTCTCGCCTTAGCGCGGCGTGCATTCGTTCAAAAAAAGATGCAACAGCTTCACGGATTGAGGGCGGTTGTTTCTTTTCAAAATGTGGCTCTCGCCCTAGCGCGGCGCACATTCGTTGTAAGAATTTGCAAGAGTTTCACGGATTGAGGACGGGTGGTTTTCAACATGTGGTTCTCGCTTTAGCGCGGCCCACATCCGTTTAAAAACAGGTGGAAGAGTTTCGCGGATTTAGGGCGGGTCGTTTTCAAAATGTGGCTCTCGCCTTAGCGCGGCGCACATTCGTTGAAAATGTGTAAGGGCTTTACGGGTTTTCATCACCGACGTATCAGAAATGGTGTTCTGGAAGGATTCAGGATTATGCGGGTGCAACAGTTACGTTGTTGTTTTGTGTGTTGAAGTCCTAGGAATGGTGTTCTGGCGCGATTCTGGATCGCCAAGACGCAACAGTCAGGCTGATCAGTGGCGCTGGAATCCCGAGAATAGTGTTTTGGCATGTTTCAGGGTGTCTTCCAATCAGGCAGTTCCATCAATGGAAATGAACCTCTGTAGGGGCTTGGAGGCAGGGTTTTCTCCAACATCGTTGATGATTCTTGGGTTTAACCTGGTCTTCCTCCTCCTCCTCCTCCTCCTCTTCCTCCGTCCGTCCGTCCGTCCGTCCGTCCGTCGTCCGTCGTCCTTCCGTCGGTCGTCCGTTCGTCCGTCCTGCGTCGGCGCCGTCCGCCGGCCGCCGCCGCCGGCGCCCTCGCGCCAGGCCGCCCCCGCCGGCGCCCGCTCCTCCAGCAGGCCAGGCGTCGCCCCTGCGCTGCTGGGGGCGGGGGGGGGGCGCGGGGGGTGGCAGCTCGAGGGGGCGGGAGGGGGGGGGGGGGCCGGCAGCGTGAGCAGGGGGGGGGGGGGGCGGGGGAGGGAGGGAGAGGGGAGGGGGAGGGGGGCAGGCAGGGAGGGGGGAGAGGTGGCCGAGGGCCAAGGAGGGAGGGATTGGGGTGGGGGGGGAGGGGGGGGGGGGAGGGAGGGGGGGAGGGAGGGAGGCGGGATGGGCAGGGAGGGAGGGAAGTGGGACAGGACGGGGGCCGGCGGGCAGGGGGAAGGAGGGAGGGACCTGCTTCCAGCAGTCGCACGCGCTCCTTGGAGCTCGAGCGCGCTGCGCGCGCGCGCCCAGCCGCGTCCGCGCGCGCGCGCGCCCTCTCACGCCCGTGCGCGGGGCCAGGCACGCCCACGGGTGCCATCCTCGAGCGGGCTCGCGCAGCTCGCGTGCTCCGCACGGAGGGCAGAGCTCCCGGAGCGTCTTCGGGCCCCTTCGCGGCCCTGCTTGGGCCCCAGGGCCGCTCAGAAACGGTCCAGGATGGACAGCGGGTCCTGGGTACTGGGAGCCCATGCCCAGAAGCGCCCTGCTTGCCTCCAGGGTGCCCCAGGTTTCTTGGGTTCCGATGGCTCTGCTATGGCAGGCGTGACGTTCCCCACCAGGAGCCAGTGGACGTCCTGGGGTCTCGGGGTGGGGTTTCCTGTGGAGGGTTTCTTGTGGTCGAGCTCCTACTGTAAGGCCCTGTGGCCGGGGCCCGCTTTCAGGAGGAGAAGGAGGAGGAGGAGGAGGAGGAGGAGGAGGAGGAGGGGGAGGGGGAGGAGGAGGAGGAGGAGGAGGAGGAGGAGGAGGAGGAGGAGGAGGAGCAGGAGGAGGAGGAGGAGGAGGAGGAGGAGGCGGAGGAGGCGGAGGAGGAGGAGGAGGAGGAGGAGAAGCGCCCGAGGCCCTTCTCCTCGGTGCAGGGTCGCCCGGTGACCCACAGCGTGGGGTCGTGGGGGCCTCTCCCTGGCTCTGCTCGGCCGCCCGCGCCTGCCCTACTCTTGCCTCGCCGCGACGCTGCTCACTTCAGCGGGGAAAACAAAAGCACAGACGCACACAGAGACACAAATCCTCGCCGACCCCCCAGGAAAATATGACAACACACATGGGTAGATATCGGAACGTACGGGAAAGTAGGAGAAGAGCCCAGACACAATTCGTCGGCGACTCCCAGGAAAATATGGGAAGTGGAGGGGGAAGACGAGAACCCAGAGCATACGGAAGCACACGGGGCGTCCTGGGATTTGTGTCTGCTTCCCTTGTGCGTCCCTGGGCCCCTTCACAGCTGTATTCCCCCCGCGCCATCCACCCGTGAGGGCCTGTGGGCCGCTTCGCTCCGCTCCAGCGCCTGCCCAGCGTGAGTGGGCGTGGCAGCCCTTCGGCGTCCTCGCCGACGACGGCGGGACTCCTTTCCGCTGGCTTGAAGTCGGGCGTGGCCCTCTACAGGAGGAAAATTCAAAGATAGCAAAACAATGATCTGGGGGGGCGGTTTTGGACTATGTTTGACCATTCTTGCAAGTCCCCTTGCAGGAGGACGTGCCCGACCTAACGCTGGCTCACGGCCCCCATCGCCCGGCTCACCCGCGCCCTTCGCGCCTCCCAGCGTGGGTCCTGCTTGGGCCTCGTGCCGAACGTGCGCAGCGACCCTGGAGTCCGAACCTTCACGCCGCCATCCGGCCCTCTCCAGAAGCCCCGGATCCAAGAAGGCCTGACACCTCTTGGGGGCGCACCTCTTGCTTCTGGCGGCTTCGCCGACCATCCGCCAGCTTCCGCCGGCGGAGCCTCCCTCGATCTGCTTCCGCGAGGCTCCCCGCTGGCCCTCTGCTGCCGCCCTCCTCCGCGGAGGAAGAAACAAGGCACCCCGTCGGGCCCTCGAGGGCGAGGCCCTTTCTGGAGCGCCCCCCCCCCCTGGCCCTCTAGAGACGCGAAGAGGAGCCACCTCGAAGCTGTCCCACTGGACCCGTTCCCTCCTCCACGGCTGCTGTCCAGCGGCGGCAGCGCACAGCAGCGCCCGTCTCGCGCTGGGACGCTGATCGCTCCTCTGTGGGGTATCTTTGTTCGGTCCAGTCGATGTGTTCGGGCTAGGGCGCAGAGCTCCGCAAGATAATGGCGAGAATGGCGGGAATCCACAACACACAAGGATATATCGTCCCTTACGGTTCTACAATGAGGTGGAATGATTCCGGCAGCAGACGGTTCGGTCGCTGTCGTGCTGCTCGCCTCCACCCTCCT